TTATATATATAGAAGAAACACACACACACACACACACACACACACACACACACATTTGTACGTATTTATATGTAATTATAGGTATATTAATTATATTATCTGTGCATCTCGCTTGAACATAATTAGTGAAAAAATTTTTCGTATTTTGATTTTAAATTTAAATGTAAATCATTTTAGTCACGAGACAAATCTGAATTTGCAGAATAACAACGTTTTATAGAAAAAAATTGCATTAATTCCATAAAAAATGTACTCTTTTTTAATTTATTATAATGCCAGTATAGTAGAATATTTATTATTATAAACATTGACAATTATATGTGCATTTTTATTAGTTGCATCAGTAAAATTGTAATACACATAAAAAGTTATAAATATTTTAAACATATATATAAAAATTTACCATGCATATAACAATGCTTACGCTTTAGTTAGTTAATTTTTTTGTTAGTAAAAAAACCGCTGCATTAATATTATAATTTTTACTATACACATAGTGAAGTGTAACAACTTGCGTAAGAACAACTAACACTCAGATTATAAATTTTTTCATTACCTCAATGGAATTTAATTGCATTAAATTATACATTGAAATACTCGAAAAATTACAATTTTTTATAACATATAAAACATACGTAATATTTTTGAATAAAAATATCGTTATTTTTTTTATAATGTAGAGTATATATTTCAAGATAATAAAAACTTTGTTGTCTTTATTACAACATTTTCTTCGTATTTACTTTAATTTTATGATTTGGTATTGGATTTCTTATTGTATTATTATTTTAAGAGTTTCTGACGTTTATATAAAAGTGAATGGACATTCAGTTATAGATCTATAAATGTTCCATGAGACTGACAGTTCACATTCTTAATTAATTGACTTTAGAATATTTTTCTCACTGTGTCATAGAGTTATCTCTGCAGGCAAGTAATTTCATCTGATGTTATGCCATAAAGAGAGAAATTTAAATACCATTGGGCTTCTTTGGTTACACACGCGTCCAGTTACGTTTCGCAAAAAGAGGACGTAATGATGCGATGCCCTGAGAAGCGCGTTCAATGTTTAGCGGCGTAATTTTTACGGCGATTAAATTACAAACGGAGCGTGGAAAAAGGGCAACTTTCGAAACGGGAAAGCGGGTGGAAAGCGACTCGACGGTATCGGCGAGTAAGAGATGTCAATCGGGGGGTGTCGTCATTCAAGAGTTCGTGTATCAAGCGCGGCCGGCCGGCCAGCGAAAGATGTTTTCCGGAAGTGTTTTCGTTAAAGTATGCGACATGGGGGAGGAAACCGCCACCGCTACTCGACCGCGAACGTTTCGGTCCCTTTTAACTCCCGACATCAAGGAATTTACAATTGTGAAAAGAGGCAAGTCTCGAGGAGAGAGAAAGTCGCGTGACCCAAAAACTTCGGGTAGCAACGGCGAAGAGAAAAGCGGAGTCGAACGTCACAGAGGGTGGTGTGGTATGGGACTCGCCCCCGAGGATAAGAAGGATCAACGTATACGAGAAACGAGATAGAAAATAGCTGAAACACTCTCTTCCTTACCTTGGTCCTTCGGAGAATTTAATCTTTTTACGTTCGTCGTGCGCGTTCAAACATTCGCGTACAGATCCGTCCGCGCGTTCGTTGGACAAGGCTGTAAATATCTTTCGTCGCGAAAAGAATTTTTGCAAAGATACGGAACTTTGCTATTATGCTTTGTCTTTCCCCGTTCCTTTTCGATTTTTGTAGTGCTTTTAATGCACATTAATGTTGCACGGACACGGCGCGCAGGGAATTTTTTATCGAAATTTATAAAGATGTTCTGGAAAAAAGTAACAGTTTCATGATAGAATTTACATAGCAATCTATGATTTAAATCATTTACATTGTCCCTTTAAATCTTAAATATACGAGTATAACACTCAGCATTTAAAATTTCATTCCTATAAATAATGTTTTACATTTTTTTTTGTATTTTAAATTTTTGTACGTTGTTTCAGATACAATTTGATTTATTTAATTTATTTGTGTAATTTAATTTATTTATATAAATTTTTTGTGTAATAAATTATTTCAATCAAATTCCATGTATAAATATAATACTTTTTTAGATGTGTAACAAATATATATCTATGAAAATATTATATATTTGATAAAAATTTTGTAATAACGAAATAAAATTATTGCAGTTTTTTTACATATACATCCCAAGCGTTCACGGTTTGAAAAATGGATGATTTATAAGAGACCGTGCATACAATTGCTATGAGGGTTCTCCTGGTTTGTTCTAGTAGTACATCGCAACCTCGTTCTGTTCTCTCTTCATCCTTACCTTTTGCCTCTCACCGTATCTTACTTCCACTTCACACACTACAAACGCACTGTTTGTATCTCGTTATCTAGCTATTTGGTTATGATTTGATGGCGCCTTCCCAGAAGGTTGCAAATACTCAGGGATTGTTAGAGAGATTGTCAAAAGAGATTCTCAAGAGAGATTAAATGATTGCAGATAATAGCAAGTGAAATTTATTAGTCTCATAAAGCCGTCTTTTTTTTGGCAATCTCTCGGCTTTATTTTAATTTCAATTTTCGAAACAATAAATAAAATTCTGTTTTGTCAGGTATTCTCGATATTGGATGTCGCGCCATAAAAATAATTTGAAGAATATCTATCATTAAGAGCCAAATAGCTATAATAAAAAATGAAAACGACAAAAAGATTCAAAAAAACAAAACGTATAAAAGAGATATCAAGTTGCATTTTAACGATATTTCGCGGA